TCATACTGGAGAGAAACCCTACATGTGTGGTGAATGTGGAAAATGCTTCAAACATAAGGGAAGCCTCATTATACATCATCGAACTCATACTGGAGAGAGACCCTATCTATGCAGTGAATGTGGAAAAGGCTTCAACCAGAAGGGAAGTCTCATTATTCATCAGCGAACTCATACTGGAGAGAGACCCTATCTATGTGGTGACTGTGGGAAAGGCTTCAGCCAGAAATTATGCCTCGTAGCGCATCAGAGATTCCACACGGGCAAGACTCCCTTTTCATGCAGCAAATGTGGAAAATCTTATTCTCAACGGTCCAGCCTCAATACACATCAGAAAATTCACACAGGAGAGAAACCCTTTAATTGCAATCACTGTGAGAAAGCCTTTGAAAGGAAAGGAGAGCTCATTGTACATCAAAGATCTCACACAGGAGAGAAACCATATGGCTGCAGTGAGAGTGGAGAATCTTTTGTCTGTGCTTCTAACTTTTACTCACCCAAGAGAAAGCCCAAAGAGAGAACCATGTAGATTCAGCCGCGGTGGACAACCTCTCCACAACTCACAGATCATCACACAGCAGTGCTCACAGGCAGGAGGAGATTCCTGTTAATGCAGTGAAGATGCAAATGCCTTCAGTGGCAGCTAAGACATCAGTCAACACCAATGGGTTCCTTGCTAATAGGAATGTCGTCCTTATGAAACAGCCTGCTGCTAGACATGACGCCTTGGAAGATAGCAGAGAAGTTTCACAGGAGAGAAATCATAGGAGTACAGCAAATCCAGTAGTGCCTATGAATGCCGTGAATGTGCTAGTACCTTCAGTGTCCAATGGCATTTTATTTTATGCCCCACAAAACCAGTAGGATCAACTCGGATACATTCACTGGAAAAGATGGTTGAGCAAAGATTTCTACCTCATTGTATGCCTACAAAGTATATCCTGAACGAAATCATAGGAATACAGAGATTGGGAAAGCCTGATACACACATCCTAGGTAAACATATGCTTTCTTATTGAGAGGTCATCTTATGTTAACACAAATACATGTGAGTCAGCTGTTCCATTGTGCCAGTTACACAGATGAAAGTTTGAGTTCATTTCTGTTGAGCAAATAAATGCTGTACAATTTTACACCAACAAGGGCATTGGTTTTGGAAATGTTGATTTGAGTGTAAATCCGCCTAGGAAGTGGTTGATAAGTACAAAAATAGCATGGGGGCAGCATCTGCCTCCTCTAACTTCACAAGGTGGACAGAGAAGTGTCATTGTTAGCATTAGCCCAATGCGGATTCCTTATGAGGCAGAAGTCAGACCTGCCTCTATCTTTGAGCCTTATTTTCCAAATCTGACACCAGTTGTCTCTACCACAGCATGTTCTATTTTTCTACTGAATTCAGTAGCTCATTGCAATGATAACTTGAACTTATAAAGAACACTCACAGTTATGGGGTTCGTTGGAGAAGTAATAGGTTATAATTTGGTATCAAAATGACTCAATATAGTTCTCCATTCAGGATAGCCACTTCCCTCATCCATACCAAAAGGTATGTCTCTGGGCCACGACCTCTCGGCCACTTGGCCTCTGCCCTGCTCAAGAAAATGTTGCAACATTCTTTTGATTCTGCCAATCAATACTCAAAGGCGCCCCCATTCCATCAGCAAGCCTTGCCGGAAGGTGCTCAGCTTCAGTTCTGTGGGTCAGCATAATCAACTCCTCAATCAAGTGCCTGGAGGGATGACACTCTGCCAACCAGCTTCCTGCCTGTAGGCACTCAGCTTTCTCTCTGTGGGGCCAGGAATCCCATTGCTCAACCTCGCTCTAGTCTCCTGACTCTGACACCTCTGCTGCCTCCATTTCTCTACTGCTACCTGTTCATATCTCTTGCTACCACAGGAGTCACTTCTCTATGTCTTCAGGATTGAAGATGTTCAACATAGGGATCTTGGATCCAATGGATTCACTCCACTTTTGACTCTTTTTCCATGATGGTAATGAGATGCTTTTTCTGCCTCTGGGATGGCTCGTTTTAAACCTCGTGGGATGACAAAATTGACCAATCTCTGTGTGAGTGTTTTTATACAGCTTGCTTGCATGGTCCCTCTCCACTAGGGTTCTATGCCCCTTCTTTACATTATTAACAAATTACCTGTTAGTAATTGCCTCCACAATTGAAGGAGTCCAAGGGGAGGTTGTGTAATTGAGGAGTAAAATTAAAGAGACATCAAACAAGATAAAGCATGTAAGTGCTCATCACCGGGACCATCATGACTTCAGGAGCCAGATACGTGCAGAGAGAGAATATATTTCCGACCAAGGTTTATATACACTCTAGGGGCGTGCAGTCCCCTTAATTACAGGTAACCATGTGTAACAAGAAGGGCCTGTACAATAGGCACATAGGTAACAAGATAGGCAGACTCTAGAGTCAAGATGGCAGCCTAACCTTGGTCGTCCTTGAGTTGGCTTGACCTTTGGTGTCTTTGGGCTCTCCTCCAGGAGAACCATCCATTATCCTTATCAGAAGGGAGTGGGCCGGGCCCTACTTAGGGTGGGACAGACTATAGGGGCTGATTGCCTTAGGTGACTGACAACCTTCAGGCAGATAACCTTCAAGCAGTTGACCTCCAAGTGTATAGTCAGTGACCCTGTGTTTGCAAACAGTACCTTAGGGTTTGGCATTCTTATGGGGTGAGGGCAACCTGGTGAATAACCTTCCTGCTTCCCACAATTACCCAACTCCTTTGGTGGGCCACAAACACCTCACATATTCATAGTCTTTACCCAGTCATAAGGAACCATGTTAGTGCTGTTCAGTAAATAATGAGCTGCTAGCCACAGGTTCCAACCCACCAGCCATGGCTAGTTATTATCCACTGGCAGCTTTAACTACAAGGGCAGACATGTTGCTATTGCTCTTCCTACTCAGGGGACAGTCGCTCCCCCTTACCTGTCCCCAGCACTGCTGTTAAGTTACTCCCCCAATGAACTCAGGGACCTCTGGAGTTAAGATACTGCCCACCTTGTTAAAGATGTCCGATGTCATTACCTGTGATTATGGGGCTTGAATGCCCCGAGACTATATAAGTTGGTGTAAGAATACGTTCTCTATCACACTTGGACCTGGCTTTATGGAGGAGGTGAGCACACCAAACCTTTTTTCTGCCTCTTAATTTATTTCCCTTCAATGACACAACTGTCCCTTAGAACCTATTCGGATGTGGGCTGGATCCCACATAGTGGGAAGGGGATAGTACTGAGTTGGAGGGTTAGGGGCCACTTATATATCATCAGTTCACTTTCCCAGATCAGTGTGAAAGATGAACCCACAGCAGATTGTGTACCAGCTATAATACACCATTATATTATGCAGAGGGACCTACGAAACAGTGGTCTTCCACTGAGTCTATTCATGCGTGTAACAAATATTCATCATGGTGGAAAACTAACACCGAGGGAAATAGGATGGGGCTATATTCCCTAACTTAGAGGAAATCTGGAAAGCTGGTATTCCATGGTAGGAAAGCCTCCACTTTGCTAAGCTAGAGGTAAAGTCCAAGTACATGATCCTGCTTTAAATATTGTTCCCACAGATTCTCCCCTTAGTAGCTATACTGCCTTAAAGTGAGCACACACACGGTTGGTTATATCTCCCTATAGAAGCAGACATTATCCTTTTGCTCTCTCTTCCCATCATGACACCCAGCTGCCCTACACCTTCCCCCAATGCAGGTATTAGGTTTCCTCACCTGTGAGCTCAGGGACCTTAATGTGGACACCACCCACCCTGTGATGCATGTAACTACTGAATATGTGTGTCTTAGGCTACCTATAAATGTCCCAAGATAGTCAAGGTTCTCTCTCATTTCTCCTAGTTCCACGTGGTCCATCAAAAGGAGCTGAGGTGAGCATGTTACCATACAATGTGTCTAACTCCTTTATTTTATACCTATCTCTCTTATCCTCTAAGACTTTACTATTATCTCTATCATTGCCATACATTTGCACTTTCTGGTCCTTTGGTTGTTGGAGGCTGGTTTCCTCTGACACATCACACACTTATCTTGACCTGGTCCTGTTTCCAGTAGCTAAGGAAACAGTGGAAAGGAAAAGACCAAGCTCTCTTGTAGGCAAAATTGAGTTAAATTAGCTATTAAGTGGACTCTTTCCACTTCTGCTAATCCGTTCAAAGGATGCAGTCACTCCATGTGTCAAAGAGCCATAGAATAGTTGATGGCAGGTGTGGAGTTGAGAGTTATAAAGTGTTGAGAGTTATAAAAGAGTGAAAAATAACTTCTTAACCATTTGGTGTCAAGATCTAGTTGCCATTTGGGAGGTCCAGCCTCATGATGAAAAGG